TGTTGCTAATCCCAGGAGGATCAGTTGAGATCAAGAAGCAATGAGATTCATTGGTTACGAATACAGATTTTCTTTTTTTTTTTTTTTGAAACTTAGTCTCGCTCTATTGCCCAGGCTGGAGTGCAATGACAGGATCTTGGCTCACTGCAGCCTCCAGCTCCTGGGTTCAAGTGATTCTCCTGCCTCAGCCTTCCCAGTAGCTGAGATTACAAGCACTCACAACCACGCCCGGCTACTTTTGTATTTTTTTTTTTTTTTTTTTTTTGAGACGGAGTCTCGCTCTGTCGCCCAAGCTGGAGTGCAGTGGCGCGATCCTGGCTCACTGCAAGCTCCGCCTCTTGGGTTCACGCCATTCTCCTGCCTCAGCCTCCCGAGTAGCTGGAACTACAGGCGCCCGCCACCGCGCCCGGCTCATTTTTTGTATTTTTAGTAGAGACGGGGTTTCACCATGGTCTCGATCTCCTGACCTTGTGATCCGCCCGCCTCGGCCTCCCAAAGTGCTGGGATTACAGGCGTGAGCCACCGCGCCCGGCTACTTTTGTATTTTTTTTAGTAGAGACGGGGTTTCACCATGTTGGTCAGGTTGGTTTCAAACTCTTGACTTCAGGTGATCCACCTGCCTCAGCCTTCCAAAGTGCTGGGATTACAGGCGTGAGCCACCGTGCCAGGCTTTTTTTTTTTCTTTTTTTTTGTGATGGAGTCCTGCTTTTGTCACCGGGGCTGGATGAGGCCTCAGCCTCCCAAGTAGCTGGGATTACAGGCGCCCACCACCACAACCAGCTAATTTTTTTTCTTTTCTTATTTTTTTTTTAATTAGAGATGGGGTTTCACCATTTTGGCCAGGCTGGTCTCAAACTCCTGACCTCAGGTGATCCACCTGCCTCGGCCTCCCAAATAAAGTGCTGGGATTATAGGCATGAGCCACCACACTTGGCTCTTAATAAATCTTTATTAATAAATCATCCCAGAGAAACAGGGGGGCACCTGTTGGAATTTAGAAATATTAGCTCTAAAGTACCATCCTCTGTGGCTGAGGACCACCCTGAGATCAAACCAGTCCTTCCTTTCCTTTGGATGCCCACAGTACTTTTGTTGTTTTTATGACTGTCTTTAACTCTGATATCACATTTATTGGTTTATATGTCTCTCTCCCTGCCAAGCTCCACTAGTCCTGATTCATACCCTTATCCTTAGTTACTCTCATCATATGAAGCACATAGTAAGTGCTCTATAATATTTGTTGAATGAATGAATGACTCAGTACTCCTAGGAAATTATTCCCTGAGTGCCACTGCACTCCAGCCTGGCGACAGAGCAAGACTCCGACTCAAAAAAAAAAGGGCTTGCTGGGAGGACCGGTAGCTGTGGCCATGCCTGTAATCCCAGCACTTTGTGGGGCTGAGGTGGGTGGATCACCTGAGGTCAGGAGTTCAAGACCAGCCTGGCCAACATGGTGAAACCCCATCTCTACCAAAAACACAAAAATTAGCCAGATGTGGTTGTGGCAGGCACCTGTAGTTCCAGCTACTCAGGAGGCTGAGGCAAGAGAATTGCTTGAAACCAGGAGGCAGAGCTTGCAGTGAGCCAAGATTGCACCACTGCACTCCAGCCTGGGCAAGACTTCATCAAGAAAGAAAGAAAGACAGAAAGACAAGAAAGACAAGAAAGAAAGAAAGAAAGAAAGAAAGAAAGAAAGAAAGAAAGAAAGAAAGAAAGAAAGAAAGAAAGAAAGAAAGAAAGAAAGAAAGAAAGAAAGAAAGAAAGAAAGAAAGAAAGAAAGAAGAAAGAAGAAGGAAGGAAGGAAGGAAGGAAGGAAGGAAGGAAGGAAGGAAGGAAGGAAGGAAGGAAGGAAGGAAGGAAGGAAGGAAGGAAGGAGAGAGAAAGAAAAGAGAGAGAGAGAGAGAGAGAGGAAGGGGGCTTGCTTACTGGAGGGGATTTGCCCTTTTTGCCCCTTCTATTTTTTTCCACCTTGTGGGGATGCAGCATTCCTCCCCTCCAGAGAATGCAGCAACAAGGTGCCATCTTGGAAGCAGAGAATAGCCCTCACCAGACACCAGTCATACTGGAGCCTTTATCTTGGGCTTTCCAGCCTCCAGAATGGTGAGGAAATAAATTTGTGCCATTCATAAATTTCCCAGTCTTGGGTATTTTGTTATAGCAGCACAAAGATAAGTGGAGTCCTTTGGAAAAGCGAACAAATGAAGAAAGGGAAAGGGGTGACCCTGATCCTAGCAGTCAAGGGATATTTATGCAGTTCTAATCTGCTGAGGATGAGCAGTCTTATGGAACAGAAGTATTTCTAGAATCATATTTTTAATATAATGTAAAGAAATCTGCTCATGTGATGGGTAAAATATATACATACATATGCATATTGTACACACACACACACACACACACACACCCCTATGCTGAAAAATAGCTACTTATTTTTAGCTACTGTTCTTTTAACGAGTTGGTTTATTGAGTCATACAGAGAAAACCCAAGTATTTAATGTAGACAATTAATAGCTGATTCAAAGACATCCCGTATATCTACTGTGCAAAGCAGAAGCACACCATTAATGAGGGGCTAGAGGCCTCCTTTTCTATAGGCACAGATTTTATTCAGGCAGCTCTTGCAAAAGCAGGGAGTTGGAAAAAACAGCTCCCTGGCTGGGGATTGCGGCTCATGCCTGTAATTTGAGAGACTGAGGTGAAAGGATCACTTGAGGCCAGGAGTTCAGGACCAGCCTGGGCAGCATATGAGATCCCATCTCTCAAAAAAATTGTTTTTGAGTTAGCCAGGCATGGTGGCATGAGACTGAGTCCTAACTACTTGGGAGGCTGAGGTGGGAGGATTGCTTAAGCCCAGTAATTCAAGTTTACAGTAAGCTATGATTGCACCACTGCACTCCAACCTGGGTGACAGAGTGAGACCCTGACACTGCCCCTCGCCCCCAAAAAGAAAGGAAAAACAGTTCCCATAGGTGCGCAATAGCGGACTCTGTGTACTGTTACCAACTTGTTCTTGAATAAATATAGCAAAAAGAATTCTCCAACTTAAGCAGACTGCAGAGGTTTTAGGAAAGGATTTAAATAAGACCTTGGGCCAGGAAGGACTTTACATTTGTGATGGCTTAAACAAACAATTTTCTTCACAGACCTCTCTAGAACTAGCTAGACTATGATTTCTCCATTCTCTCAATGTCCTTCCAAAATACCATCACTACCACCACCCTTCAGCTAAAACATCTAAGATATCAGCAACTGCCTTGTCTAGGTACCATCCCATCTGGAACAAGCATTCAGTTCTCTTCATTCAACAAATGGGCATTGGATACCCTCAATGTGCCAGAACCTATGTGGGACCCGGGGATTGAAAAGGAAACCAAACGTTCTTCCCCAACCTCCAGAAGCTCACTGCTAGTGGTGGCAAAGACGCACATAACTAGCTGGGTCACCTAACACTCTGTATCTTAAAGGATCTCCCAGTAGTATCCCATAAAACGCTGGGTGCAGCTGCCAAGGCCAGAGGAGGTTGAAACGCGAATAGTTGAGAGAGGTCTTCTTCTTTGCTCTCTTACTGCCAGTGCTGGAGTGGGTTCCTTTGAATGTGTCCCATGAGATGTGATGGGGACTGTGTTTCCAGCACCCGTCCATATACTTGCTATCAGCGTGAATCCCTGCCCAGGTTTCAGGGGCTCTTCAGGATGCGAAGGAGGATAATTCCCTATCCCAGGGCTGTACTTAACCAAGAATTACTTTGCTCCTTCCTACTTACTGCATTGTAAATCAACCCAGATAGCCCTTTTCCCAGACCCAAGCCTGCTTAGTTAGAATAGATGCAAATTCCAGTATCACTGTCTCACAGATCCCCAGCCACTGTTCCGCTTCAATACCTGTCCTGATTCCTGAGTTAGTTAATTGGTTCCATCCATTTCCATTTTCTTGGTAACTGTGTTCATTCAAGAAGGATTTATACTAGGCAGAAGTACAATGTAGAGGTTAAGGGTGGAAACTCTGGGAGTTCAGTCCCAGCTGTGTATTTACTAACTGTATGACCTTAGGCTGATTAACTGTCCTCTTTGTTTCCTCATCATAAATTGGGGATAATAATATTACTTATAAGGATAATAATAGAACCTGTCTCATAAGGTTGTTGTGAGAATTAAATTGATGAATATATAAAGGGCTTAGAATAGTGCCTGGAACCTAGTAAGAGCAATATAAATGTTAGCTAGAATTGATCTAAGTTCTAATATTAACTCATTTAATCCTCACGATCACCCTAAGGGGTTGGTACATTTATCAATGAGAGATTTTGTAACAGAGGTTTTAAGTAAAACAGAGGCTAAGTGACTTGCCCAAGCCTCTGACAGTACTGCATGAACACAGGCAAGATATCTGTTATCATGGAACTTTCATTAAACAAATAAAATAATTTCATGATGATAAATGCAATGAAGAAAACAAAATAAGATGAAGGTAGGCCGGGCGCGGTGGCTTACGCCTGTAATCAATCCCAGCACTTTGGGAGGCCAAGGCGGGCACATCATCTGAGGTCAGGAGTTTGAGACCAGCCTGGCCAACACGGCAAAATCCCGTCTCTACTAAAAGTACAAAAATTAGCCGGGCATAGTGACGCATGCCTGTAATCCCAGCTATTCCAGAGGCTGAGGCAGGAGAATCACTTAAATACGGGAGGCAGAGGTTGCAGTGAGCCGAGATCGTGCCATTGCACTCCAGCCTGGGCAATAGAGCAAGACTCCATCTCAAAAAAGAAAAAAAAAAAAGATGAAGGTATGTGATAGGGTCACTTCTCTAAGGAAGTGACATTCCAGGGACTTGTTGCCCTTCCCTGCTACTGGCCTGTGTTCAGAGCCACTGTGGTTTACCTCAACACACTTCAATAATTCTGCATCTTGGTGAAACTATTGGAGTCTCATTTCCTTTGTTTAAGGAGGTCCCCAGACCCCTTAATGGCCATTTGCCTACTGCTTATTTGTTTTACTTCACAGGAAAATGTATTCTGCATCATTGGACAATCTACTCCACAGATAACCAGAAAATTGCAATACAGCACAGGAAGTTCCATGGCAAAGGAAAGCAAAAGGGGCTGTGGATTCCCAGAGGAGGTGCCTAACTGAGCTTGGTGGACAGAGGAGTACAAAGAATAGCATATGCAGAGGCTCTCATCTAGAGTGTGCCCCCCAAAATAAACAAAAAATAATAATAAAATAAAGTGTGCCCTAGTCATCTTCTCAAACCAATGAGAGTTTGCCTCTCATTTTTCTTGTAGCCCTATAGTTTCAAAATACTGTTTACTTGGTGTGTGAAGGTGGAGGAAACAGGCACTTCCAGGATACTGTTAGGCCGTAGTACCCATGAGGAGGCCCACATACTTCTGCTGGGATCTCTTGGGTACCTCGAGTGTTTCTATCTTCTACCAGGACACTGTGGGGGCAGGGCGGGGGGAGCTTTACTCTCAGGCTTCTGCTAGCTCATATAGCACCTGGGTTCCTTTCCTGGGGCTGCTGTCACAAAGTACCACAAAACTGGGTGGCTTCAGAAAACAGAAACAGATTCTCTTAACAATTCTGGAGCTGGCAGTCCAAAATCAAGGTGTCAACAGTGCATCTGGAGGCTCTGAGGGAGCACCTGCTCCATGCCCATCTCTTTGCCTGTGGTGGCTGCCAGCAATCTTTTGCATTCCTTGGCTCATGGCTGCAGTGCTCCAATCCCTGACTCCGTCCCTGGAAAGCCTTCTTCCCTTTGTCCCTCTGTCTGAATCTCCCTCTCTTTTCTTTTCTAAAGACATCAGTCATTGGATTTAGGGTCTACCCAAATGCAGTATGGCCTCATCTTAACTTGATTATATCTGCAAAGATGCTATTTCCAAATAAGTTTACACTCACAGGTACCAGAGGTTAGGGCTTGAACATATCTTTTGGGAGGATATGATTCAACCCAGGACTGCATCTTTGTGCAGAGTGGAGACAGTGCCCACTCTGGATGGATGCTGCCCCTCTGCTCATGGCTTAGTGAGGAGACAGCACCCTTGTGTGAATTACACCAAAGAGCCCTTTCTCCTAGTGCAGCTCCACACCGGGACACAAGGCTTTGCACTCGGAGTCTAGGCTGATTTCAACTCCCATTTAGCCTCCCTCTGGCCCCCTTAGCAGGACACGGCTTGTTCAATCACATGTACTGACCTTTGACTGCTCTGCCCTCAGCTGGCTGCTTCTGTTCTGCCCCTCCCCACATCCCTACCCATCCTGTTCCTTCCATCCCCATATCCTGAGGGTATAACCCATTCTCATTCTCAGTCCAGTTTTTGGATGTCTTTTGTGGAGTGATCTGATTCTGTAGCTCCTGTGACTAGCTGGTACGTTTGCCTGGACAACATCTATTATCTTCTCTTCTGGAAACAGCACCCTAATTTTCCTTTGGGGCAACCATGCCTCTTCCACTTGCAGTTCATCTGGTTTGGGTGGGACTGACCCCACATTACAACTCAAGATTGGCATAAAATCTAGGGTTGGCCAACCAGAACACCCCATCCCCTGGCATAATGATTAATCCTAGACTATTCTAAGCATGACCGGAGCTTTTGCCAAAACTACTGAAGGAGAGGCATTCTCTCTCTGTCCAGATGGCTATATGAGTAGGATAAGGCTGGAGTGGCCTGAGAATAAAGCTGACCCACAGAAAAGTGATGCTGAGAGAGAGAGAATTCTGACAATATAATTTAGTCACCTGCTTCTATCTATGCCTGAAGCTAGATCTAGCTCTGGGCTTTATAAGTAACATGAGCTAACAAATTTCCCTCGCACCATGATCCCCTCTTTTACTGTGTGACTACTAAAAGTGGGTCTATGTCCCTTGTAATTGAAAGAATCCTATACACGGATCTTTAAAATGCCAAGAAGAGAAAGGAAGGGAAGGGGAAGGGGAAGGGAGAAATAAAGAAAAGGAAGGAAGGAAGGAAGGAAGGAAGGAAGGAAGGAAGGAAGGAAGGAAGGAAGGAAGGAAGGAGAGAAAGAAAAAGAAAGAAAGAAAGAAAAAAAAAAAAAAAAAAAAAAAAAAAAAAAAAAAAAAGAAAAAAGAAAGAAAAGAAAGAAAGAAAGAAGGAAAGGAGAGAGAGAAAGAAAGGGAGAGAGAGGGAGAGAGGGAGGGAGGGAGGAAGGAAGGAGAAGGAGGAAGAGGATAAAAGGAAGGAAGGAAGGAAAGAAGGAAGGAAGGAAGGGAGGGAGGGAGGGAAAGGAATTCCAACTGAATGCATCTCTGACACCTCCATTATCTCTGCTCTGTGCTTCCAAAGTTCTGTGACCTCCCTGGCCCACCGGGGTCCCCATGCCTGAGTGCTGGCAGATGAGTAGGAGTTAACCAGGCTAAGAAAGGGAAAAGGTTTCTAGCACATCATGGTGGGGATGGAGTAAAATTGGACTGAATATGCTGCCTGCTTAGACTTATTAAACTTTTTGAGGAGAGGTGGGGGTAGGGAGTAGGTTTTGCCCCTTCCTGGGGCTGCGAGTTCTGTCTGCATTTGGTTTCATTTTCCTGTGGACTCTCTGCTTTCCAGCTCAGCAGCCTTGTTCCCACGTGCCGTCCAGCAATGTATCTTAAACCTCCACTATGAGCTAATACTGAGGTAAGCTGCTGGGAGGCACACATTGCCCCTTGTTATTCTCTGCAACCTCTATACCACCTAGCACAGAGCCACAGCCCATCAGGTCTCCAGAAGTGCACACTAATAGGCACTCCCTGACCTCTTGCAATGTCAGTCCTTCCTTCACCATGAAGCCTTCCCTGATTGTTGTAGTCCATCCTGATACCCCGCTTTCCTGAGTCCATCATGAGCTATTGTATCATATTGTGTCTTTTGTTGCATCAGTGCTGGATCTATTTTCCAGTTCCTCTTAAAGATCTCTGAATGCAAGAATCTCTACCCAAAGTTCATTTTTTTTGAGACGGAGTCTTGCTCTGTCACCTAGGCTGGAGTGCAATGGGATGACCTCAGCTCACTGCAACCTCCACCTCCTGGGTTCAAGCAATTCTCCTGCCTCTGCCTCCCCAGTAGCTGGGACTACAGGTGCCCACCACCACATCTCGCTAATTTTTGTATTTTTAGTAGAGATGGGGTTTTGCCATGTTGTCCAGACTGGTCTTGAACTCCTGACTTCAAGTGATCCACCTACCTTGGCCTCCCAAAGTGCTGGGATTACAGGCATGAGTCGCTGCGGCCAGTGTCCTCTGCCCGAAGTTCTTAGCACAAACTCAGGAAAGAGTCACTCTACAAATGATAAACAATTCAGAAGAACTTTAATGCCTATACCATCATTGCCACTATAATAGAGATAGAAGATACATTAAGAAAATTCAGTTTGTATCCACAAAACAGATCAACACAGAACAAGGAAACACCATAGACATTTGTAAATGAGATCTTCTCTTTTGCTACTGTGTATATATATTCCTTTATATTTATACAAACTCACAACACCACATGACATTTCATATTTCATATGCCACTGAGAACAGGTGTCAGTATACAGAACATAGGAAGAAGAAAAAAGCATGAGAACATCTGCTTAATTCGAATCTGATGGGGAGAGACATGAGACCTATTGTTCCTCTCTCCGCTCAGGCCTATCGAGAGACAACTTCAGTTTTTGCTAATTGTTCCTCCTGAGGAATTCTGCTCATACTGCATCTCCTAGGTTGGCATGAGACCAGCCTGGTCCCCGGTTGAATAAATTAGAAAGAGCAGTTCGGGGAATTGAAGATGACATGCAAACTGCATACGGTGACATCTCTGTGTGGCCGCAGAGATAGATCATCTGCCCCTGGCTCCTGGATCTGAGGGAAGCCGCTGCTGCTCAACCTGCTCCAGGGTTTAATTTTGTTGGGGTTGTGGGGCTGGCAAGGGGAATGTGTTCCTTTCCTTCCTTCTCTCCCACAAGCAGAGGAAGTCATATGTAGACAAAACAGATGTTTAGGTGTTCTCTTCAGTAGCCTTCCTCTTGCTCCCCTCTATTACCCCCAGAAAGGTGAAGTTCAGAATTAGGACTGCCCACTGCAGGGGCTACAGACGCTACCCTGTTCTGAGACTAACCCTGCCATTTACTGCCTTCTCTATGTAGTCTTGGATAGATTGCTTCACTGACGCAGGCCTCAATTTTCCTCATCTGTACTGGGAATAATAAAACCCACATCACAGTGTTGTATCAAAGATCATCAGGGCATGGATGGGAAAGTGCTTTGGGAACTGTAAAGCGCCAAACACATGATCGATGATTTTTGTTATAATATTTGAATATTATGTCTCCTGCCTGCTCCTCCTGGACCCCAGCCCCATCACAGCTCACTGCTCTGTTCATCCAGGCCCAGCTTGTAGTGGCTGATTCTTCTTGGCTGCTTTTAGCCTCCAGAAGTTTCTCTGAAGCCAACCAAACCTCTGGGTGTAAGGCATGTTGGCCCGGGTATTTTTGGTGAGGTTAGGTTCCAGGGACAGGAATGTGTATTGAGGTTGGGGGAAGGAGCTAAAGGAAGGAGGGGATCCTTGGAAAGGTCTCTGGGAGGGGTGTATTCGGTTTCATTCTGAGACAAATACCATCTTCTCCCCAAGACTCTCACAGTGGCTCCACCTTAAATGTCCACAGCATTTCACTTTCTAAAATGTACTTTTATTTGACTCTCATAACTATTTTGTGAAGTAGGGAAGATTGTCAGCCTCATTAGGTGAAAATATGTTGGTTCAAGATCACACAGTTAGTATGCTGCAAAGTCAGGACTCAAACCCAGATCTCTGGAATCCTGGTTTTCTGAGTGTTGAAGGGTACCTCTAACAAAGGCTCCAGAGCACTCTAAACTCTCATTCTGGGCTCACTCCTCACTCCTGGAGGCTGATCTCCGGGGGAAGGAGGAAGTGCATGAGGTACCTTTCCGTCAGGTGACTGGTGGCAGCCCCTACTTTAACCCAGCCCAACAAGGTCATGCTACAGAGCTGCTCATGGCATTTTCCTGGACTCTCCTCCCTTGGTCCTGGCTGGATTCTTCTACCCTGATCCAATTAGTAAGTCCAGGCTCCATCTCCTACTTATACAACACCCCTTCTCTTGCTCTTTTGCTCACGGTGTTTACACTGGCTTTCTCCATTCTCTGGTTCTCAGTCCCCTTACAAAAGATCCTGGATTAGATTTGCCTGCCTACCTCTGCCTGATTGGGATTACTTTGTGTAGTGCCAACATCACACGTTCGGCATCT